TGCTCTAAAAACTTTTATTCATCTAGTTTTTTTCCCTGCACTTCAATCCTTTGGAACTCTCTCCCATCTTCATGTTTTCCTGACTCATACAACTTTCAACTTTTCAAGTCTTCTGTCAACCGCTTCCTTGCTCTATAACTCTGTTTTTTTTTTCCTAGTAACTTCCAACTTGATAGTGGTTGCTTGCAGCCTTGTTGGAAGTGAATGCAAATAAAAAAAAAAAAAAATTAAACACAATTCAAAGGAATTGCCAAAGTCTGTAGATTGCGACATATAATTAAAAGACTCCGAGTGATTGAAAAAAATAGAGAAGACGAGCTTTGGTTAAAACAACAAGATTATTTTTAATTTATCTTTAATATGAACACAACATGTGTTGGGAAATTGGGATCCCTCTAAACATTTTTTGTACTTAACTTATATTTCAGAGATGGTTTTTTTAAAAAGTTAGAGAGTAACAAAAGTAGACAAAACAAGCAAAAAAAGTTTTTCCTCACAGGGACTTAATTTAAATATAAATTCATATTTCAGCCCATTCAGTTTAATGAAAATTGTTGCGTAAAAGAAATGTCCCCTTTCCGTAATATCAGTAATTTATCGAAAAATCAAAAGTATCTGACATAAAAAGCTTCTCAATATTTTTGTTGACAAAGCACATGTACTACTTGAAGTTGTTCTAATTAAGTTTGCAGTAAGACTTAATAAGTTATTTAACTTTTGAGCCAAAAATGTCAAAACTTTTAAATAAATAGCATTTGTGGGTGCTAAACCAAACAAAATTGTTATTATTTTAAATTAGTAAATTTGTTATTTTTTTAAATTAGTTATTAGATCAGTACTTTATTTTTTGCTGCTGCGCAAGCCTGACAAATAATTATTGTCCGGCCAGCGCTTTTTTGCAATTAATGAATTAGAATTTTTTTTTTTTTTTTACTGTATTACTTTGTAATAACATTTTTTTTTCAATAATTTTTAGGACTATTGCTAAACTTTAATTTGGCATACTTTATTTGCAGAATGAGATTTTTTCACCTTTAAATTGGAAATTTAAATTTCATGAGGAAATTCGGTATTCCCAAATTTATATATATATATATATATATATATATATATATATATATATATATATATATATATATATATATATATATATATATACAAATATATATATATATATATATATATATATATATATATATATATATATATACATATATATTATATATATAAATATATATATATATATATATATATATATATATATATATATATATATATATGTATATATATATATATATATATATATATATATATATATATATATATATATATATATATATATATATATGTATATATATATATATATATATATATATATATATATATATATATATATATATATATATAATTAAATAACATAATATTATAATATATTATTAAAATATATTATTAAAATATATTATATTAATATATTATATATATACAGTAGCAGGCTTGGTCAGGAAGCCGGTGCAATCGCACTCGATATTTGACCACGGAAACTATATTTACTTGCGAAAAACCGGCCAGAAACATTTCAAAAACAAGCAAAAAAGCGCAATAAGATAAACTGGATCAATGAGAGACAGTTAAAAAAAGAAAAATAGCTTTTAACAAAAAAAAACTTTAAGCAAAATAAATTCTATTAGAGCAAATATTTTTGAAACCTCTCTCTTTTATAATTTTTTTTTAAAAAAAAGCAACATTTTTTGTATATAGTAACAACGTACTAATAATGATTGTTTAATAAAGAAACAAATGTTCTTCAATTTATCAAAGATTATATATAATTTTTATTTATATACTTTTGTCTTATTTCCAGTGCTGGAAGTAAGAGGTGGGGGGGGGGGTAGAAGAGTTATAGTCCCGGGACACACAATGTTATGGGCAGAGAAATAGTCAAGAGGACCTATCGGTATTTTCAAGTCATTTTTACCCTGTCGCACATAAAAAAGACCACCAAAATAATGCAGCCCCCGGCCCTGCAAAGTCCAACAAGATTAAACCAATAAAACTAACGCTACAAAATTTAATTATAAATAAATAAAGTTTTTTCAGTACCTGTTTTATGCTTTGCGTAGTTTTAAAAGTTTAACATATTTGAAACAATTCTTCTTAGTAAGATGAACAAATGAAATAACTAAATCATTGAGTTACTGAGGAAATTTAATTAGCTAGATAGAAATTAACTAAAAACGTTAAATTACTTTGTAAGAGGAAGCGGAACTGCTTAACAATATTGCTGATGATATTTAGTGAGTGGGCTTTATATCTTTAACTAGTATTTTACAGAAAAAAGTAACTTTAAGTGTAAGTATAACAAGTTTGTAAGAATGGCTGAAGCAAAAATAATTGAAGTTAATAAACCAATTTCTAATACATTACATACATATAAATACATCCCTTATATATAAAAAAAATAAGATTATACTAATTAAATCTATAATATATTTACAAAACGTTGACAAGTTAAAAAATATAAATTTAAAACATTTATTTTTGTAAACAAATGTTAGCTTAAAACATTTAAATCTTTGTAGATGTGACTCCGAGAATGAGCCATTGTATTAAAATAATAGTTCGTTTGATAGTATATTCTTAAAACAATTGATACTAGAAATCTCAAAGAAAACATATCAAAACTCAAATTATACGATTTAAAAAAATAATTTAACAGAATACTCTAGAACATTCGCTTGAATTCTTTAGTAATTTCAGTTATTTATTAATTGAACCAATAGAATTAGTTGTTTGTAAATTTGGCAGGTTTTTTGTGTTCGCGAATATTATTTATTTATTTTTCCGCACTAAGATGTTTGACAACATTCAAGTTTATACAAGTTTCCATGTACGTGCATAAAACAAAATATTTTAAAATTTACAATAAAATAATAAATTTATTATTTTGCGGACAAATAAGGAAACATACATAAACTTAAATGTTCTCAAAACGCCTGAAAAATCTGGCCGGCTTTTTGCAAGTAAATATAATTTCTGTGGTCAATTATTGAGTGCAATTGCACCCGCTTCCCGACCAAGCCTACAGTAGCGTGCAAAAGTTTAGAAACTCCTACTTTTTTTCAGTTTTTAACACATAACTTTTCACAGACTTTTTCAAATAACCTGAAATTTTTACCGGATGTGCTCTATATTATCACAATTTAAAATCTATTTCACAAAATTTTTAAAACTGACTGGTCAATAAATTTAACTTTTTTTTGAAAAGGCTTCTGTGCAAAAGTTTAGAAACAGTATAATAACCTGCAATTATATCAGATTTTTGTAAACAAAAGCATTATAAAAGGTCAAATTTTTTCTGAAATTTATTATTTGAATTAACTTGAGATATTTCAAAAGCAATGAAGTATAACTAATTGAGATTAAATTATTTGTGAAGTTTTATAATTCAATTACGTAGTGATATTTTAAAAGTATGGGAAGGGCTAAGGAAGTTTCAGATAAAATAAAGAAATTAATTATAAAAGCTGTGGGGAAAAAAATTACTTACAAAAAGATTCTGAACTTTACAATGTTTTTAAACCAGGAATATGTCACATTATGAAAAGGTTTCATCAGCGCAAAATTATTGAAAGCAAGCCTTGCTCTGGAAGACCTAAAGTTACAACTGAAAAGGCTGATAGTTTATCAGTAAGGTATTGCAAGAACAATCCTCGCATGACTGCTGTTGAGCTTAATTCAATTATGCATCAGTTTCATGGCACAAACTGTAGCGTTGATACAACTAAATGTTGATTACGACAAAATAATCTGTATGGTTGCCGTCCAGTTAAGAAACCTCTTATATCTACCAGAAATTTAAGAACCAGAATAAATTTCCAAGAGATCATCTCAGTTGGACAGTTAATGATTGGTCAAAAGTCCTTTTCTCTGATGAATCAAAGTTTATGCTATGCAGTAGTGACTGAATTAGATAGGTCAGGCGTTCAGTTGGAGACAGATTCAATCTAAAATATCAGTTACCTACCGTTAAACATGAAGGAGGAAATGTTATCGCTTAGGGGTGTTTTAGTTGTGAAAACCTGGGTCCCATTCATCGCATAGAAGGTAATATGGACCAGAGAGTTTATTTAGACATAATGAAGAACATTATGCTGCCCCATGCAAAGGACAAAATAAATCGCAATTGGATCTTTCAACAAGATAATGACCCAAAGTATTGTGCCAGATTTGTTAAGGAATATTTTCAATTAAAAAAAGTCAACGTTCTTGAATGGCCTTCACAGAGCCCAGATCTCAATCCCATTGAGATCTGGGCTCTGTGACAGTAAATATTTCAGCTTTTTTCTGAAATAAATAATCATCCAAATTCAGCTGTTTCTAAACTTTTGCACAGAAGCCTTTTCAAAAAAACAATTAAAACTAATTAACTGGTGAGATTCAAAATTTTTTTTTGAAATGGATTTTGAATTGTAATAATATAGAGCACATTTGATAAAACTTCGGGTTATTTGAGAAAGTTTGTGAAAAGTTATGCATTTAAAACTGAAAAAAGTAGGTGTTTCTAAACTTTTGCACGCTACTTTATATATAATAATAAAAATATATAATAATTTGTTTCCAATAAACATTATTATAATTTTATTGGAAACAAATATATATATATATATATATATATATATATATATATATATATATATATATATATATATATATATATATATATATATATATATATATATATATATATATATATATATAAATATATATATATATATATATATATATATATATATATATATATATATATATATATATATATATATATATATATATATATATATATATATATATATATATAATTATATCTTAATTTGTAATATTATTATATAATATAATTTATATTATAATAAATTTTATTAATAATAATTATTAATATAATGTTTATAGGAAACAAACAACTATCGGTAAATGAATTTATTAATACTAAAAAGCAAGCATACTTGTTTAATTCAACTTCCTTTAGATATCAAATGCAAAAAATGAAATCTTGAAAAATAATGAAAGTTTACAATACTTTTGTTTATATCCTAACTCGGAACAATACCACACACCCATTTATTGACGGGTAGAAACATGATCTCATAGGAGCCGTTAAATACAGGAATGGCTTCCAATTTTGATTGGGTGAAAAAGTTTTGTTTCACGAAGTCCGAAAAATACTTTTTCTCGTTTGCCGGATATCGTGACTTGTATATTAGGGTAGGTCACTTTTGAAATATTTTTGAATTTAGGTTCGGCTGGGCATTTTTCTTATGTCTTTGAACGTATGATAATAAAAACCAATTCTCTTTTTATTTGCATTTAATGTTTAGTCAGGTAATTTTCAGCTTGAAAATTTTAGTTTTATCATAAATATATAATTTCCCCAGAGTTTTGTCAATTTTTTTACTTTTGCCATCTTCAAACCATTTTAAATCAATAAATGTTTTAAACTACATCTATTTTATCAATAAAAATGTCAAAATATGATCCTAAAATATTGCAACTAAGGGGGGGTATTTTACCATAGAAATGGGTAACAGTTAATTTTTTAAAATGTATTGATGACGTATTTCTGAAAATTTTGTTTATGTACGCTAAAGTCGGACCACTAGTAGCAGTTTTATTAGTTATTAAAAAGAAGAAATAATAATGGATATATTTATTCTATAGAAATAAGTTTACAGTTATAAAGAATGGCTCAAAACACTCGTGATAAAGTTAAATGTAAATTAAAAAAGCTAATTGATACAGGAAAAACGTTATTAGAGTCAGAACTACCAACTTTAAGAGATGTTTTAAGATATGGTCTCTTTCTTAGAAGAATTGAAGAAAATAAGCAAAATTTAAGGCTAACTTCTGAAAAATTAAGGACCTCAGTAAAATATTTATGGCAAAAATCTAATCCACTTATACCCATTATCTCTGATAAAAGAGGAAAAGAAAGAATCATATATGACTGGAAAAAAGCATATAATCTGGCGTTAGGTAGGGGAACATCTAAGCAACTTTCTGATCATAAATTAATCTTAGATAAACTGTTTGACATAGCTAAGTGTAAATGTTCAATAAAATCATTCGAAAAATCCGATTGTTATGGCTGCAACCAAGTTTTTCATATTGTTTTCAAATGTTCTCAGGAAAATAAAATTCCTATTATTGAATTTAAATTTTTAAAGTCACAGAGAGATAAAGTTGGTCCTAAAAGTGGAATGCAAATAGGTTCAGTTGATAAAAAAGAAGTATCCAGACAAAAAAAATACCATCAAAGAAACCAGAACAAATCAAAGAGAGATAGGATTGAGACTGTACAGTATTCTGAAGTATTATCTCAAAATGATGTGGAGTCAGACAATGCTGAGAATGATTATAATGACAATCTTTATTTACCAGAAATAAAAAAAGTTTCTCAGCTAAATACTTTAAATGTAAATCATATTGCTTTGTCAGCATTACGATTTGGTACAAGTAACAGAGCAACTGCATCAATAGGCACTGCAACATTAAAAGCAGCCAAAGATGCAGGTTTTTTGAAAGATCATATACTTGATAAACACCTAGCTCTAAATCATAAAAAAATTGAGAGATCAAAGCAAAGAGTAATGAATGTCTGTAAAGAGAGACATAATAATGAAGTTAAGAAAGAGGGCATACAATGTATTATGTTTGATGGTAGAAAAGACCTTACTAAAGCAGTTGTATATGGCAATGATGGTAAATCTTATCCTAGGGAGATCAAAGAAGATCATTATAGTGTCTGTTCTGAACCTGGTGGAAAATATTTATTCCACTTTGTAAATAATTCAGAGGAGAGAGAAGCTCGAACACCTGCTGAACATATTGCTGAACAACTATATGATTGGATAATAGCACATGGCATTGAAAACCAATTAATTGCAATTGGAGGAGATTCAACCAACCTTAACACAGGTTTTATTTTTATTTCTTTAAATGGTTGTTAAAAATTTTATGTGCTTCTTTTTTTTTTACTGAAAATAAAAATTTATTTTAGGTTGGAAGGGTGGAATTATTCAATTTTTAGAGAAAAAACTAGGATTCAAACTTATCTGGATTATTTGTGCGCTACATACCAACGAATTGCCACTTAGACATTTAATGTTAGCTTTAGATGGAAAAACTTTATCTGAAAATAGATTCTCAGGAAACATCGGAAAACTTATCAACATAGCAACAAATCTTCCTATTTTGACATGCATCCCTCAGCTTGATTTTGTTGCAGACCTAATTTATCTCGAGAAAGAAGTTGTAGATTCACTGTCTACAGATCAGAAGATTTGTACAGAATACATAATGCAATAGCATCAGGTGTTTTTCCTGATGACTTGAAGGAGATTCAAATTGGTCCACACAATCATTCAAGGTGGTTAAATCTCGCAAATAGACTACTTCAAATCTGGTGCTCAGAGCATTGTTTGAAAAACAAAGATCTACAAAACTTGAAATTGTTAACAAAGTTCATCATGGGTGTTTATTCGATTATGTGGTTTGATCTTAAGGTAAAGAAACTTAGTAATGTAAATAAAGATATAATACAATATTTTACTTAAATACTATAATTTACTTTAATAATTGTAAAACAATTGTGATTATGCTAAAGAAAAGTAATTGACTTTAGACTAAACATAGCTGGATTCAAGGTCCACATCATATCTTTAAGCAACTAGCCTTGGTAAAAAAACAGAACAAGTTTGTGAAGGATATTGTATTACTAACCCCTAACCCTAACCCTAACCCATTCCACAACTATTCCCATCAAGTTGCTGAGGTGCATTAAAAATAACTTTGTCCCATTCTCTAAGTTCATTAGTAACAGATGACCGTGATATCATGTATTTCACAACCATATCAAGATTTGAACTATTATCACCATTAAGGGAATCCGCAATTCCAACTGTATTATCAAAAGTAATTGCAACTAATAGTGTCCAGTGGTTGTTATTGACGTGGAGAGGTAAAAGAATCCAATGGTATTTGCGTAGACGGACATTTTTATACAGCCAACCATCAAGGTTTTTTTCATGCCATCGCTGAGCCAAAAAAGAAGGCAGGATATAAACTAGATTGCCCTTTGTAGCCTTGTTTAAGTCCATAAGTAGATTGAGGTAGGCGTGAATTACAACATCATTTATCCACTCATCTGAATTTAGTGTTGCTAAATCGTCACTGTTAAGTGTGCAACTACCGATAACACATTTTTCATGGGGTAACAGCATATTAACTCGTAATTCAACTTCCAAGTATTCTTTAGAATTAATTTTTTCCATATGTGATGCGGTTGCATTACATTCTTCATTATTCATCGAGACAATCTCTTTATTTGCACTATTGTCGTCGTCACTTTCGGCGTCAGGAGCAGCATTGACATCACAATCTCCGTTTCGCGGTTGCTTTCTTCCTAGACGTTGTTTGACGTTACGTTTGTTTCGACGTAGTTGTGTTAGGTTTATTGATTTTTTGTCAATTGCAACCGGTGCACCAACGAGACGTTGCACAGCTTTAATATGGTAACATATTTTTACTGGTCGACATGTATATGTTTATTTTAATCCGTTTAATCGAACCAAATATACCTCGTTACTAATTCCTTTTACCAAAAATCATTTCATAGATGGATTGAATTGAATTGACCCAGCATTCTCAAGAACAGCCTGACATCGAACATTTTCGGACATGGTACAAACGTTTTTTTCTTCTTTTACTACATTGTTTATAAAATCCTTGTTCTGTCGTTTCATTTCAGAAACAACTTCCTCCGGTGGCAGAACTTTTTCTACAACTACGTTTTCTTTCGCTAGGGCAAGATGAGGAAACTCGTCTTTTAGTAGATGATAATCTCCTTGATCACCAAACCCAAGATTGATGGAGTTGACATAATAGCACTGAAGGTGGTAAAGAATAAGTACACTCATATCAATTGGAACCTCCTGCCATTCATGCACACGACGCATGACCGTATTAAAACCTTCCGACATGTTTTGTGTTATACCCGAGTTTTTGTCGTATACATTTAGCCGTTCCAATACAACACGGCCGATTTTAGTACCCGCATTTTTATGGATTGTATTGTTGTAGTACATTCGAAATGGTTGACTCCAAAGCTTTACCTTAGAATTATACATCTTAAAGTAGGTTGCATCCGTCGGACAATGGAGAAGACTTTTGACATGATTAAGGTACACGGCAATGTCAGTGGAAGTAGCATTATGCTTTTTTAGCCATTGCTTTGTTGATTTAAATAAATGGTTCCAGCAAATTTACTTGTTAATTTTTGGAAAAACTTCTTCAAAAACATCGAATGCTGTTTCACCATCAGTCACAAGTGCACAATTCGTTATTGTTAACGCCGGTAGTTTTTCTTTTAAAATATCAACAAACGTTTGGTGAGTACTTTTTAACTTTTTTTCGCGAATCATGAGCATCGCTGGTATTACTGGATTTTCGGTAAAACAAACTCCTCTCATTAGAAGAACAGATATGTAAAACTCTCCACAATTAAATGTTGTATCGAAGGTCAACATTTGCGTATGTATTTTTCCATTCGCTAGTAAAAGTTTATTCAAATGAGACAGTAAATCTTTCCGCCCTGCAACAATAATTAAGTCGGGAAACGTTTGTGTTAGCCAAATAAAATCTTGAAAATCAAATGCAACATCGTGTAAATTAGCGATGCTGTCGTTGGATAGTTTTCGACTGGTAGTTATCCTTTCTCGAATATTTTGCACTTGCTTAATATTTCGAGGAATAGCATTGATGTTTTCCGTACTTGTTAATGATTTCTTATGCACAATTGAAGGTTTATGCTCTTTTAACTTGTTAGCAAAACTTGCCAGTACCGAAGGTGCTGTCCGTTCATAAGATCGTGTCGTAGATGTTTTTTAACTATTGCCATGCGGAAACGATAAAGCAGTTGATTCATCGCCAACATACTGCACGATAATATATGGATATATAGACGGGTCAATTGAAACAAAAGCAAAACGGCAAAAGTTCAAAGATAACTCGGCTGTATTATGTGATTTAAACTTGCGCTTATATATGACAAGATGTTTCCTGGGAAGTCGATCATTTCCATTATTAATCCAGCGATAACCATCTGCCACCCAATCATCTAAAAAATAAAAATGTGTTTAACAAATATTTAAAAATCTCATTGGTTGCGATTATGATAAAGAAACACAACAAATTTCAGATTTCCGAATCCTAATAAAATATATACAAAACCAATACAAATTATATTTAATAAACTGCATACTTTTATTAGCATTTTCTTGATATTGATACACAAAAACACCCCCTCCTTTCGACTTTTGAGCAGTTCTATGTGCCACATGGTTTTTATTAACATTGGCCAAACATTCGAGTACCTCGTCAATACTTAGCATTTGCTTGCGCACAAAGTATGGCTTAGCGTGCAAGGTATGCTCCATTTTGTCTTAATTGTAAACTGAACAAATCTCTTTCTCTTATAGGTTTCAGTACTTCCTGGATGATGCAATTAAAATTATTTTGTGTGTTTTATCTAAAACCCGCACACCTACATAGTGGTTTCAGTAACTATCTCGTCGCTTTTAAAATATAGCCACTATAGAGAATATTTTTACTAACTACTTCCTTATAAATATTTAAAAATCCGTAAATCTTTAGTATAACAATAAAAAGTTAAATAAACGTACGCTTTTTGCAAAAACAAACCATTTGTGTAAAATAAACAAAATCGGCTTTTAAGTTGGGCCGGGCCGGCTTTTAATTTTTTTGGGCCGGGCCGGCCCGGGCCGGTTTTTAGGTATAACCTTAAGTATTTAAGATGCAAAAAGTTAAATTATTTGTTTTATGCAATGGTTTTATGTGAATATTTAATTATTGGTCATGCGTGTTAAAATGTTTTTATCAAATAGTAAGTCAATACAAAATTTGTGAAACATGATTTTATACTATAATACAAATGTTTTTATACAATTTATATTTAAATCATGATATTAGAATATTATTTGTGATCATAATATCAAAGTGAACCGCGATTGTTAAGATATTTTGATAATAAAGAAAACTAATTCATAACATGCAGGGCCGTATTAAGGCAGGGGCGGATGGGGCTGCAGCCCCAGGCCCTTATAAAAAAAATAGACCCTAAGGAGCGTGACTTTTTTTTTTTTTTTTTTTTAGGGAACGAGACAAATATTCCTATGTTTCTCAGTTTTTTTAAATCAATTTATTGGGAGCTGCGGAGGCGTTGTGAATAAATAAATGAATAGAGATATAGTTTCTTTTTTAGTTATAAATGAATTTTTTTTTTATAATGAATTTCTTTATAATGAATTTATAATGAATTCATTATAAAGAACTCATTATAAAGAATTCATTATAAGAATTTATATGAATTCATTATAAGAATTTATATGAATTCATTATAAAGAATTTATAATGACTTTTTAATTATGAATTTTTTATAATGAATTTTTTATAATGAAATTTCTTTTATAATGAATTTTTTACAATGAATTTTTTTTATAATGAATTTATTATGAATTTTTTTTTTATAAATGAATTTCATTTTTAGTAAATGAATAGAGAGTAAGTTTCATTTTTTATTTTATGATCACTTCCGTTACCGCAGAAAATTACAGCATTGCTCATTCGTTTACATAATTAAAATAAAAAATGAAAAGGAGCGGCCTGAGCGGTTGGGACAAAATGCAAAAAAAAGAAGAAGAATGAGATTCAATTAAATGAATTGTTGAACAAAAATAAAAAAAAATGACTGAGTTTGGTAATACTGCAAGTAGTGTCTCGGTATCAGCCACAGCGAGAGCGAGTTCAAATTCACTAACTATGTCAATAATGTCAGCACCAGTTCCAGGTAGTGCTAATAGTGTCCCTGCAGACTCAGCTACAGCGAGTTCAAACTCATTTATGTCAGCACCAGTTTCAGATAGTTCAGCGAGTTCAAACTCATTTATGTCAGCACCAGTTCCAGATAGTTCAGCGAGTTCAAACTCATTTATGTCAGCACCAGTTCCAGATAGTTCAGCGAGTTCAAACTCATTTATGTCAGCACCAGTTCCAGGTAGTTCAGCGAGTTCAAACTCATTTATGTCAGTACCAGTTCCAGGTAATTCTAATAGTGTCTCAGCAGACTCAGCTATAGCGAGTTCAAACTCATTTATGTCAGCACTAATTCCAGGTAGTTCAGCGAGTTCAAACTCACTAACTATGTCAGCACCAGTTCCAGGTAATTCTAATAGTGTCTCAGCAGACTCAGCTATAGCAAGTTCAAACTCATTTATGTCAGCACCAGTTCCAGGTAGTTCAGCGAGTTCAAACTCACTAACTATGTCAGCACCAGAATTTATTTGTCTCTTATGGTCACAAACTGTACTGGAGAAAGATCTTTTTCAGTCCTTAAAAGAGTTAAGAATGAACTTAGATCAACAATGGGACAACCTCGCTTAAATGATTTGGCTTTATTATGCATTGAAAGTGACATAGTTAGATCAAGAGATTTCACAGTAGTGATCAAGAAGTTTTTTTCAAAAAAGGCCAGAAAAGTCAATATATAAAAAACTATTTAAGAGTTAGTTGATTAACTAAATAGTGCATAAATTATGCTACAATTTATATTTATTGTTTTTTTTTTATACTTTCAAAAGAAAAATATATGAAGATTCTAGCTTCAGCTAAATATTTGACACCATCAACAATACTAAAAATGATATATGTTTGCTTATATTGCTAAATGCTATCCTATTCCAATATAACATAAATATTGTTATAGGTGCTTTTGTAATGTTAGACTGTACTAAGGACATACATGTACAGTACATGTATGCCCTTAGTACAGTCTAACATTACATGGTGACAATTTGGCAAAGGTCAAACAGAGAAGTGAAGTACATGATGTACTTCACTTCTCTGTTTGACCTTTGCCAAATTGTCACCGCCCAATGATCTATATCCTGGAAAACATATGAAAAATTATTTACATGATAAAACAACAATACAATACCTTAAAAATTTTGATGAAATATTGTTTATATTTATTTTTTTAATTTTTTCATTTAAATACCAATATTATTAGTATTTTCTTCCTTTATTGGAGGTGAACACATTATCAATTTGATACACGTACTCCACTGTCTCAATAGTAAATTTACCTACAGCTCAGCAGTTGCTTTCTTAAGTCATGATTCAAAACCTTTTGTCAGTTTACATATATATGGGTGTCTGGGCCAAAGGGGTATAGCTGTACCTAACCAGTTAGTAAAAAATTATAAAAAAAATGCTCTAAAACATACCTAGATTGTGTATTTTTATTAGCAAGACTTAAAAAAAAATTTCTGGGGGCAGCTTCCCCCTGACCCTCCTACTTAGGGGGTCTGGGGGCCCCCAAACCCCCGGCTGGGGGCCTCGGGCCCACTGACCCCTGGGTTTAGCCTCGCTAACGCTCGGCATTTTTACCTTACCGCCACTTTAGGCCCTCCTATACTTACAGCCCCAGGCCTAAAAATTTCCTAATCCGGCCCTGATAACATGTTTACTGTAGTTGGTTTTTGTTTATTAGTCATTTTGTGAGGATGGCTAAGGAATTATTTCTAAAACCAAAATTTTGAGTGTAACATGCATGAAATGTCTAGTAAAGTTATAACAAGCACATTCTTGAGTTTTATCTTTATTTTTTATCTTCGTGCTTCTACTATGATAAGAAACTTTATGCAAACAACAACAACAAATAAAAGCAATAGGAGCAACATTTATTTTATAAAACAGTAATAATAATAAAAATAGTAACAATAAAAATACCTATAATATCATAAATAATAAAATCATAATATCATTATATTATCCAGGTTTATACAATTGTAATTGCTATCTCTAAAGCTATGGTGATGGTTTAAATTTTAGCCAATTTAAAAATCAACCTATTATACACAAGGTATATACAAATGAAAATACCATATTGAATTCTAGTGTATTTTTGAAGAACATTTTTTTTCAAAAAGTATTAAAGTTTTTGTGTGCAAGAAAAGAAAACTAAAGATTTTCAAATTAAAGAAAAATATGCATCATGTTTTCGATAATATTTTTGTGTATCTTTTTACGTAACATGGTTTGATCAATTTTTACAATGTTCCCCATCTGAATTGGAAGGAAAAAAGTTTATAAAAAGTATACAGTTTTATAGCAAGTTAAGTTAACAAATCTACTTTTAACGAAGCTTAAAATATAAAGTTTGCAAAATAGTGTATGTATAGATTTATGTTCTGTTGTTGTTCATTTACTATAAACAAGTATATGAATTTGGAAATGGAAAATTAGTTCAACGTCAATAGCAATTGTGATAAAGTAATTTAAGATCATTTCAGTTCAGTCAAGCAAGCACCTGAAAATTATCAAAGTTCAGTCAAGAAGTCAAAAACATCAAAGTTCAGTCAAGCAAGCACCTGAAAATGGTCAACTTTTTGTTTAATATAGATTGTTGTTCCAATTACAAGTTGCAAATATGATCCAATACTTTATGTCAAGCAAGGTTCAAATTTTAAACCAAACAAACTTACTATCTGTTGATCTTCTGGTTTGTTTTGAAGTTATGAGTTCAGATAAATATGTAAAACATTTAGTTTACAATTTTTTTTTATGGCTTTTAAGCTCAAACTAGTAACCAATGATGTGATTTGAAAGTTTTATTTTAACAAATTTTAATTTGAAAGCAGAACAACATACATTATTAAATAAGCTATAATTTGAATGCACATATTTAAATATAGGGAAGATCAATCACCCCTATATATGTATATATAAATATATATATATATTTTTTTTATATGTAAGTTTTGATTTATATGTAAGTCTGTACAAAGATATAATTTTATATAGCTTTATATTTTATTAAAAGTATGTTTTAATTATATCTTAATATGTTTTAATTTATGTTATTAATTTTTTTTTTTTTGTGATACAAAAGATGTTTTGTTCAAAGCAGATCAGCCAACCATATAAAGGACAAATAAAATTGACCCTTTTTTGAAGTATGCAACCCTGATGTCTTGATTGGCACAATCACATGGAAGTAATGTAATATTAAATTAAATATTAAAGTATAAAATTTTCATTTAATTTACTTTGCTCTAACATCAAGTAATAATAAATGTCCCAAACCATATTCTAACAGTCTAGCCTACAACTGTTTGAAATAAGTTTATGTTATTTGCGTATTTAATTGCGACGTTATTTTTGCCAATGCGTTGTTTAATTTGATAAAGTTAGTACATTAACTATTTCTATTTGGTAACATTATGTTACTAATAACACAATTCAACTTTTTATCGTATCCCATATTTTTTTTAATATTGAAAGTAGCTTATAATTTTCAAAACTTTTAAATCATTTGCTAACATCTTTTAAAGAAATCTTTGTTGCAAGCCTTAAAATTTAATAAGGTACAAAGTAGGCGCTTTTTATCCTTTAACTTAAATGGAACTAAGTTTCCGATTCTGGCAACCTGGTTAACAATACTGATTCATGGTGCAAATAAACCAGGTTTATTTATATATTAGTGGTTAGAGCGCTTGCTGTATAAGCCGCGGATCTGGGTTTGAAATGAGCCTTTAATATATTTCGCGTCACAGTAAGGAAGGGCGCGTGAAGTTTCTGGTTAAATCCATTTCCGCGGTGCTCTGTGACAAGACCGTTAGGACTTCTTGGGGCACATAAATAACAAAATTTAATTGCGATTCAATAAATATTTTAAATTTTGATTGCGTACATGCCACTAGCTGAACTAAAATTAATGTCATTGTTGTTTTACATAGCCCATAGATTAGTAAAATTTTTTTAAAACGTCTATAAATCCAAATAAATGTCATTAAGTAAAATTAAATGTAGGTTCGAAGTCAGCTGAGGTTTGAAGTTGGCTGGCCGTATATATACTACTTACTTCCTTTTCAGCTTAAGTCCTCTACGTCTTTTTAATATTTCACTACTGATCTCTCGTATAAACTATATATTCAGTCCATGGAAAAGTAACTAGTAATACCTACTATGACCGGACCCGGGTCTTGTTAAGTCTGTTCAACATAGACTATTTCTATATTATTTGTTTGGCCTGTTTATTTCATTAATTTTTAGTAAACGGTCATTTGCTATCATTTACTAAAAATTCCTTTTGTTACTCAAAATTTAATTTCCTAAATATTTTAACACAAGTAAAGAGGTTCCTCCCCTCTTCTTGCTTTAATGGTGGCGTGGTGGGTAGGGTTTTTTTTTATTAAGAGTAATCAAGTTTTTCCTTAACTAAAATAATAAAAATGTAAAACAATGATTTACATTTTTATTTACAAACAATTATTCTTTCCTCAAATGTGTTGCAAATGCAGACTAAGCTAACTAATTAGTTAAATATGTAAATAAAACATAAGTAAATCAATATTTGGCAAATGTGCAAAACTACAGTATTCTCCATGTTTTTAAAGGTTTTTAGTTACGACCCCCGTTTTTAAAGATCCCCTATAATACGTACAATAACTTATTAGTCATAAAATTAAAAAAAACAAAACTGAACTAATTGCATATATTTATATCTTTTTAACTTACAAAAACTTACAATAAAAGGAAATCAGTTTTTTTTATAAATCTTATAAATGTGTCATAACGTAAATCTAAAATAAAAAGTAATGGAATTCATCATAATAACATCATAATAACAAAAAAAAAACAAAAAAAAAAAACACCAAATTTCAAAATAAGTAACTATTAATAGGTAAATTGATTTCATAAAAATTGAAAATCAATTTACCTATTTATAGTTACTTTAATTGCAGTTAATATAAACTTTTATCAAAAATGTAACTATAAAATCTGTTTTGAAGTACAAAAGGATTAACAAAAAAAAATCAATTTAAATTACACTTTTAGCAAAATGTTGTCTTCGTTTTTAGTAAATAAATAAAAGCAGTAAGTTCCAATAATGAAACTACCTATGAATAATATTTAACAATAGACGCCAACGGGAAGGTAAGCCAAGCTGTCTATCAACACAAAACATCACAACAATAACATTACAGCAATAACACATAGCAATAAAATCCAGTGAAAATAACAAACTAAATTAAAACATGAAAGGCAAAATTAAAAAATTATTTTAGAGTTATATTTATCTTTTTATTAAACTTTAAATAAAGTATATTTGTTTTTATATTCAATATTAGTTATTCAATTATTTCAAATTTAGGACATTAAAGCACGCTATATTTAAAGATTAAAGTTGCATACTCTCTCATACACATTACGCTAAACATTAACAAACATTATTATGTGTTTTCAGAATAATTTAAAAAGGCTAGACAACACAACCTAGCTCTAAAGCAGTAACACTGCCTAGCATTAAATGCTGCCAAGTCACACCTCTGCTATAAGTACACCGCTTGGCTGGCAAGTTTATTAAACTTGCTCAATATAATACCAAGTCACACCACTTTGAAAACATATAAACAACTCAATATAAACATATATACAGCTATAAACAAATATGACTTTATATAAGACATATGAA